TCATTCAAAACATCAAAATACGTTACCACATTGCTTCTTTCATCAGCTGGTGATCTCATCGGTTGAGAATCTAAACAGTTTGGAGCAGAAAATCATGTACGATCAGCCAGGGGGATCAGAGATGGCTTTTCTTTTCTTTTTTTTCTTTTTTTTTTTTTTAACATGGTGTTTTTTTCTAAGTATTACTTCAATGCAGACAAATAATTGTTTTGCAGAAGCAAAAGTACTCCAGGATGGAGATGCAGATATTACCAAGGCACGTAAATATGGAACTAAGAGCATGGTTTTCAAATACAACCAAGGGCACAGTTCCATGCTGCAACTAAAAAGTTTTCTGCTCTGGAAAGGAAGGTCTCATCCCTTCACCCTCTTCCTCCACTCTTTCTTCCTGGTCCCGCTCTCCTATTTTCCTTCACTGCTCCTCCAGCCTCCACTTCTGGCTGTACAGTCCTTTCTTCTCACTACTTTGTACTATCACCGTCAAGCATTGCAAAGTAAACTGATGCAACTCCAAACCCCACAGAAAACATGACTGTAATTTTTCTGGATTATGTTTTCTGCGCTTCTAGTGAGTTAAGTCAGCTCACTGTGCTATCTACCCTGTGAGCATCAGGGCAAGCTTTTAAGAGAGGAGAGTGCATAGGCAGAAGGAGGGAGGAGGTCGGGGAGTTGGTTAGGGGAAAGGTTCTCCTTGTTTCTGTGGCAGCAAGCTCTTAGTTTGTCTCAAATCATCTTGTTACATCATACCCCAAAAGTTTGGCAAGGAATAAAAAGCACCGCCTCCAGAGATGCACGAGAAAACCCACGTAGTAGGAGGTACTAACGCACCTTTGGTTTTATTGGACTTTCCAGACTTTGATTTCACATTCTTTTAACAGGAGCTGAGCTTGATTCTCTACTGCCTTGCACTCAGTGAACTGTGCAGCAAGGATGTAAAATGCTGTGACTTCAAAAAGTAGAAGATGGTGGGGGGGAGGGGGGAGAGGCAAGCACTTGTTTTTCACATTATCTCTGTGATCTTCTTGAGTTGTAGTGGCCAAGACAGGGGATATAACGTCAACTAATGAAAGAAGAAAAAAGGTTTCAGCCTCATTCTTGGTAGCATGGCTGATTCTCAGAAGACCATGGATGACCCTTTCCAGCCCACAGGGAGCTGGTAACATTTCTGTTTACAGTGGTTCCAAATGAGAAATAAAGAACGATGGTGAGTGTCATGCATAGCACTCTACAATTTGCTTTTTGCTACATTTCACCTCTTTATAAATAGAAATAAGGATACTCTCTAATACAAGCCCACCACTGATAATACATCACAATTACTACAGCATCTCCAAATTGTGGGAATGAACCTGGACACCCCTTCAGCAGGTGGAGAATCAGTTCTCTGCCTCAAAGACCCTTCACCTTAATTGATTGCTTTAATTAAGCTAACTTTGTTTTTCTTCATATCTAATTTTAGGCAAATTGGCATGTTTCATTATCAGACGTTCCAGTTCTGTTAATTCAGCAGCAGTGTGTACAGTCTGTGCCATTGCAGCATGCTACGTTATTTTAGCAGATTTTGAATCCAAGCATTGTACAAGCACAGTAAATACAAACTCCATTTTTACGTATAGTCTTAGAACAGTGCTGCTCTCTTCTGTGCTAGAACATATTTCTTCCATTTTTGATTGCTGTTGCACTCTAAATAATAAATGTGAGGGAGGTTTTTTTCCCCACACTGTCTGAAAAATAACTCCAGAATGAAACTCGGTTCCAGTCTCTTGTTGGGTTTAGGTTGAGTGTTACATCTTACAGCCTAGTTGAGCAATGAGCTCAGGAATTTCCTTTTTTGGTGATTGTTACAGGCTTTGTTGCAGGATATGCCAGGGAGGAGGGGAAGAGAAAAGGATCCTGTTGGGGGTGAAGGGGACTTAAGCAAGCTTTATGTCTCCATCTGCTGTGGTTAATTCCCGTCTCCCTGTCTCCTGCTGTGGCTTTGGGAATTAATGAATTTGCAGTGCAGTGCTATGCTGCCTTTTCTTTCCGACAACTCAGACTAAAATATCAGCTGCAGCCTATTGGTGTACCTACTAATGTAGGAAAGAAGTTTAATGTTCCCGTCATGTAAAAATTGGAGCACACCAATCTTCACCGCACATGACAGTTGCACTGCTTTTTGCTCTGCAGCCTATTACCACGGGTATCGGAACAGATTCAAATCTCAGCA